GAATGAATAAATGTTTGCTGAACACACTGCATATGCTTCAGTCATCAAAACGTTAGTTTTCTTACCTTCCCAAAACATAAGATCTGAGAGAGCTTCCTGGCGGAAACTTGCTGGGTGCCTATTCTGCAGAGATATTTCTATAGAGGCAAGCAACCGTTTTTACATAAATTGTTTCCATGGTTGGAATGTGAGAGCTCTTCTAACACTTTCTCATTGTGATTTGAAATTATACGTACATTCATTGTACATTTTTTCTTTAAAAGTAGTAGTGTATGCTAAGACATGAAGAGTTTTTTTCTTTTTTAAATCCAGTATACTCTTTTGTTGAAATGAGGACTAAGTGGGCTTTCATTTATGCAATAACGTTGGTGTACATTTTCTTATTCCTTTAAAAAATATATTTTATTGATTTTTTTATAAAGAGGAAGGGAGAGAGAGAGAGTTAGAAACATCAATGAGAGAGAAACATCGATCAGCTGCGTCCTGCACACCCCCTACTGGGGATGTGCCCGCAACCAAGGTACATGCCCTTGACCGGAATCGAACCTGGGACCCTTGAGTCCACAGGCTGACGTTCTATCCACTGAGCCAAACCGGTCAGGGCCATTTTCTTATTCTTCATAATCATTTTTAATTATTTTATTGAAAGGCAACTAGTTTGTATTTGTTATATCTGTTTCACCTTTTCTCTGTTAGCTAGTTAGACATTTGAGGAAAAATAATGCTGCTGTACTAATTATTTACTTTCATTTTAAATTTCAGTTTCAAAGGACATTTGAATCTCTTAAAAATGTTTCCAACAAATCTGACCTCCAGGAAACCTATCAGAAGCTTGGGAAGGAGCTGGAAAATTTGGATTATTTAGCCTTCAAACGTCAGCAGGTAGGATGGGAACTCTCCTTGTGGAGATGATGAATGCTAGGCTTTGTGCTGTCATGCCTGTCAGTTTAGGTGGGCCCGGGGCACTTACTTTCCAATGTTTAGGGCAGAAATAGGCTGTGCTATGCTGTGTTGACTGGTCTCTTCATATGACTTCCTGCGGCGTTCCCCGGAGGGTCTTGCTTTTAGATGTGCACTCTGGGGGTTTCCACATGTGTCCTTTTACTTCTCTTAAAGAAAACTCCTGCTGGCTTGTAAAGGTACAATTTCTCTTCAAATAAGAATGCTTCATTGGCATAAAGGGAACCTCTGTGAATGCTGGACCAGGTGGCTTTTATATTGACAGGGGGATGCTTGAGAAAAATCCCCTGAAGACCAGGTAAAGGTTGTGGTTGTACATACAAATTTAAGGAAAAAAGTCATAACTATGCCAAAATATGAATCAACCTTTGCTTTTCTTATTTGATCTCTGAAGATGAGTAAGTTTTCTAAATGTATAAGGTTGAAGAAAAATATACTTTACAAATGCAAACCTTTTTGCCTCCTTGAATAGATTTCAAGATAAATCCTGAGCCCAGATAGAACTGGTTTGCTTTTAGAATTAATATTTTGTGATATTAACAATAATTCTGTGTGTTTGTGAGATTCTGCCTTTCCCAAGCTGGCTCTTCATCCGTTTCTTCACAGCCACTAGGTGTCAGGGTTGTCAAGCTTTTACTTTGACGGAATGTTTATTCCCATCAGCACTGCCAGTTAGATGTTTAAATGAGGTTGCATGAAGTTTGGGAATGTGCTCAGTGATGGATAGCGCCTAGAAAAATGACTAAGTGGGTGACTCGGATGGCCAGGCACCAAGTCCATTACTTAAGAGTCTTTCCTGTTAGTGTGGCAAAAGGTGTGATTCTCTGGCCATTGCCAATTTCACAGATTTTGGATCTATGGGATGGGAGTTTTCATAGCAGGACTTGCTAAGTGTAGTCACACTTCATCAAGTCAACATAGTATGGTTGAGGACATACTGACTTGAAAAGAGAATTGTGTTTTAGGTTTTGCTTTATTGCAGACCTTCCATGAGCATTTAACCTTTCCAAGGCCCTATTTTCCTAGGAGCTATATTTGTTTTGTAGAAAGTTCTGGGGCAAATGCAATACATTTATATGAAAAAGGACACACTATCCATTTATGGTTTTTTAAACCTATTTTTAAAGTAGTGAGGGCCCAGGTATTAATTAGCACATGCGACGAAGCAGTTACAGTTACTGAGCTTCCAGATTCTGCTGCTTGAAATTCACACCATGAGTCACTGCTCTGGCCCATGCAACTTGCAGTACAGTTTTGTGTCCAAGAGCCGTACTTTACCTCTGAGGAGCATTTGAGTTGGCAGGCAGTAGTCACTGTTCCCTCTTCTTATCCTTTCCCATTAACACATTCTCAGTGATTAGATTCTTACATTAGCTAATTGTCACTTTGGAAAAATGGGACTGCTTCAAGGACAGACCTCTGGGAGAATGGCATTGAGGACAGACAGGTAAATTGCATGTGTATGTGAGAAAAATATGGGCATAAGGGGTGTATATATATATATATATATATATATGCAAATTATATATGCAATTTATAAACGACAACTATCTGCCACATACTGTGTTTAATATACTTACGGATTAGACAATTAAATACATTATAAAGGGCTTGGTTTTATGAACACCATTTTACAGATGAGAAGACTGTTAAGAGAGTTAAATAATTTGCCTAAGATCACCGGGCGAATAAGACACGAGGCTGGTCTTCCAGGGTAAATCAGTCTGACTCCAAACCTGGGCTTTTCCGTGGTCTCGTTCCCAGTATCCCTGCGGGAAGCCAGGCTGGGGGTAGTAAAGTGAGGAGTTCCAGGCGTGCGGAATGAAAGCAATTTTAGGAGAGGCCGGGCCCAGGGCTTAAAGAAACATTTGAAAATGCCACCTGGTGAGAGGCAAAAGACGGCCAGTTCTCACTCTTTCTCTCATGCAAGTCGTGCAGTGTATCCGAAACCACAAAAGGATTTTTGAGAGACTCTACTCAGACAGCTAAGAAAATGTATGAAACTTCACTACACGATTTTCTAAGTGTTATGTCTAGCAACTCTAGTTCTAGTGAAATTTATTCACACAAAGCAGATTGTGAGCTCAAAGGGCCAAATCCTTATAAAATGGGCTTCCCTGAGCAGGTACCATACTGTCAATCCTTTGTCTTACTAGACTCCCTCTCTTCCTATACCTACTGATCATTCTTTTTCTTTCTGGAAAAGATAGAAGGGGAATTGGAGGGAAGCAGTCAGAAAGAGGGATGGTGGGAAGTCAGGGACCACAGAGTGATGGACAGAGAGGGAAGAGACCAATAGGGATAAGATAGGAGGAATCAAATGAGGGAAGTTAAACTGTAGTTGGTTTTATACTATATGCATCTAGTAAGTTAAAAGGTTGATTTTTGAAAATTAAAAAAAAAATCTCAAAATAGAAAAAGGGAGAAAATAGGAGAGGCTACAAGAAGACATAGTGAATGAGGGAGATGGCAGAGAACAGCAAAGACAAATTTTGTTTACTTCCCGTTTTACCTCGGAAAATAGCAGAATTTTCTAGAAACTGGTAATATTAACCCAGTCCTTCTGTATGAAAGCCCCCGAGGAGCTGCTGTTTCCTGGGTGGGCAGGGTTCCCTGACCTGGTGAGACTTGCCCTTTTATTGCCTACCCTGCCCCTTTAAAGCCCCCAAACCTCCAAACACACACCAGTGAGTTTCTCCCACTGGAAAGGATTCAGGAATCTGTAAAATTGCAATACAGCAAGAAAGCTTCTGCCTCCTACGGCAGGATCTTTGTCCAAGAGAATTAGTCATGGCTTGTTTTCTGCTCCAACCGTATTCATCATTCCTCGTGTGACAGCACATAGGCTCCGTAAGGACAGGGCCTCATCTGTCACCTTCGCTGCTGCATTCTCTGCGGCGCTCACAACCGTCCCCGACCCGTGGCAGACGCTCAATAAATACTTGTTGGTGCTGTTGTTGCTACGAACAAGAAAGCATACAAAAGTTTTGGCCTCAGATTACTGGCAATTAAAATTGATGTTACCACATTTTGAAAATTCATAAGGGCATTAACCCTTGGGCTTCCCGAATGCCAAAGGCTGACAGATTGCCCTTAGACTTACGCATTATTTAGGTGTTCTGCTGACGTTTCATTTCCCATCCATTTCTTTACAAAATATTAATGTTAGAAAATGTTAATGTTACCTTAACTGTGAGTTATGGATGTTCAGTGGGTCGACTATAATTATCTTGGACTCATTCATTAGGTTTTATTTTGTTTCCTTTTTCTATGACATTTTAAACATAGTTTTGAGAGATTTCTTTCTCTGGGCCAGATAGATTCGTGGAGTATGTTGTTCTATTCTTTTTAACTCTCTTTTGGGGTTTTTTGTTCTCTCTC